TTTCCTTTTATTGTAGTACCGTTACCGTTACACGATAGTCAAAGAATTTTTTGTTGATGCTCTAGGATTTCCCATTTATTTTTGGGATCAGGCTGATTTTCGGGCCCCCACGGTCAGAACTTTTCAACCGTCCCACGGATACAGTAAAACTAATATTATTAAAATCTCCCTCGATATAATGCAAAGTCTCATTGTTAGATATGGTTAGATTTTTCTCAAACAATATTAGTAGATTGCATCCCAACCATACAATCAAAGTGGAATCGTTACAATGGAACTCGTTATAAAAGAACTAGTGGCTAAATCATCACTATGTCGCGACTGGCCAATCTTAAGTAGTATAATAATAATGACTCCCTCTGACGATCTAATTCTGTATATGGTACGAAGTCGTTTAACGTAGCAAGTGTCATACCGTAATAACCTCTTGATTCGGTCAAGGTTTAATAATTTATTAATACTATTCAAACAAAAGGACTGTAACAGTGTTTTGTTGAATGTTGATTAGTCATGCGATACTTAATGTTTGTGAACAAACGCTCTGTTTTCTCCAAAGCAATCTCGAAACCGTTTTTTTTTTTCATGTTGCTTATACCGAGTAAAATCACCATTTAGTTGTTGTTCAAGTTGTAAAAAATACGATGCCGTCAATGAAATTTTATTAATGTTTTTATTTATTATTCAACACGTATTTGTATCAGGTGGTACAATATTCATTATAATAATAATGGAAAGTGGGCTATAACCATTATTATTATAGACGTGTTTCCATAAGAAATAACCAGCCAGTTAATAAAGATTCGAGTAAAATAGAACAGTTTATTTAAATTTTCGCTTGATATAACGATTTTTATCGAGAGACGAGCTGCTTACCCTTGATAATTCAGGCCTTTTTTGTACATCTTATGCACTTAGCAATACCCTTGGATTATCAAATAATACGTGTTTCGAGATGTATATATATTCACACATCCCCAATCATCAATACACCTTTTTCGCTAAAGCGATTTACGATTACATATTTTACTCCCAACTGATAACTTTCTACAGAACATTGACGGTACCAAAGCACGTGAAGATGTTATTGTCCGATATTCATATACGCATAAAATACTAGCTAACGAGTGTTTAATTCATCCATACTCAAACAGAATTTCCATAGAATGAGAGCGATTGGATAGAGTTACAACGTACTTGATAGACGAACACACCGACCTGTTGATAGCTAGAAGGACCGGGATATGGAAATACATTGCCAACAAATAAACAAAGCCACTTGTTGGTTTTAAAGATAACTTTTTTTTTTCGTTCCTTGGAGTCGAATTGTTATTTAAATATTTGTACATTTATTCAAAGTTTAACAAGTGGCGTTGCGGGATTAACTAGATATCCCACTCTCGGGAACCAAATAACCACATCGATTCCAGTTTCCGATACCCCATCTGGTCGAATTGCTATATGAAGCGGTCCCAAACTGACAATCTTCCCTTGAACTGGGATTTTCCCGTAGTCGTCCGGTATAATTCTGACATGATCTCCAATTTTCCTTCCGTTCGGGTCATTGGCATCTTCGGTTGCTGGGTGAGACATCGGCTTATGCTTCTTGGCAATTTCAAGCGCTTGCTCTCCAGTCATTTTGACAGGCTTCTTGCCATTAGCCTTTGCATAGGCATGCAATCGCGCAAACCATGCATAAATATTTGGATACAAATCTTTTCTCGCTACTTCGGGCGCACCCTTTGTATTTCTGAGAAACCAGATATTGGTGCCAACGTGTATATCAGCAATGCTCGGGTACGGAGTATCGAAGATCCATTCTCTACCATCCGACAGTTGCAGTTCGATCCACTCGAAATTAGTACGCAGTTTGTCAAGCATCACTGGTCTCGCTGCAGCTATTCGTTCAAGATCGAAGGATTTGATACCCATTAGAGCTGCGCGGTCCTGCAGTAGTGCCTTTTGAGAATATATTTTTGGTGCATCCGGAGGATCATTTGAGCCACCATAGGGCATAAGAGCAACCGTGGCTGACCAGAAGTAACGCTATTTCGTAAGATATAGAGAACGATGATTCAGTCACAATAGCACATATGATAATAAACCGTCTTTGATGCATTACTAAAAAAACTAACGTACATCAGTCCACATACTTAGGGCTTGTGCTAGTCCTCTGTCAGCCTTGTCCGAGCCTTTGCGTTTTGGAAACAAGGATGGTTCTGGAAATCTAAATAGTACACACGTATTGAAACGTGCCCTAGATTTTGCATTAATGTTCAATGACTTACCTCTTCTCTAGCTCCTGTAGTATTAACGCCGTATCAACGAAGATGTCTGATCCCATTTGGAGTATCGGAATGCGACGATATCCATGTGTTAACGGCTGGAGCAACCTTTATGATACGAACGAATGTAAAATAAAATTACGAGGCATAAACGTTGAAACTCCATTATACCTACGGTCTTGGAAGAATTGGAGGAACTTCGACAGAAACCCAGTCTAATTTCTTTATGGCTAAAGCCCACAGTATTTTTTGCGAGTATGCCGAACCTAGTGAATCCATTGTCAGTGTGTTTCTATCATTTCAAATAATGTCTGTGAATAATCGAGCACATACCAACATAATGATGCAAAACTATAGGTGGTTGAAATGCCATTAGTTAAAAAAAGCGTAATGAGGAACAATTGTTCTGATATTAAGTACGTAATATGGGGCTCACTAAACGTTCTTAATCGTATCACAGACTCATCGATAGTAGCCTTGTTTGTTCAAGCACAAGCTTTATTGTAAAGTTAGAAAGTAGATAATCTTTAATGGGAATCCCTAATTACTAATATTATGCAAAAAGCATATAATCAAGACGTTTTAACAGGTAAAAAGGCGGAGAAAGTACAATAGACAGTCACCTGGGATGCATTATGACTTATCACATGCGTAATATCATAATAATAAATTTTTGACAAGTCACGTTTGGCATAAACTAACCAGTTTGTGCAATACATTTGGGCATGATACTCTTACCGTAATAGATTCTTGTTGCATGTTCCCGTATTACAAAAAAAGCTTAAGGTTTAAGTTTTTGAACAAAGAACGTTCATAAAGATCGTCAACAGATAATACAAAAGCCGGTTAACAATTTCATAATTTCATAATTCAAAGAAATAACGCTACGATTAATCGGCAATTGACCATTTTTTATCATGTATTTAAATATTATATAGAAGAATTGAATTCATTAAGTGCGGTTGACAATTAGATATAAAATTCATATTTCAAGTAACTAATTAATAAGAAATTCATTGATTTGAGAATTTCAAGTGCTTCTTGTCAAAAATTGTCGTTTAAAATAGTTGGAAATTTTGTGTAAAAATTTGACTGCAGTTTAAGCGGTCTCTGTACTTAGACAAGAAAGAATGGTTCGATAAATGGCCATTTAAGTTATAATTCAACGTACGAGCGCAGATTAGTTTCTTTACGGTAGTTTCTCCAGAATTGTTCAAAAGCTAGTTATTTTAATTTTAACATTAAGCAAAGATAAACTTGATTGGACTAATTTATAACATTATTATTGAACAACTTGATTACTAAGATGCGGGAAAGAGGGAAAATTTCTCTTGAATTCTAACTTTATAACAAGATTCATACGGGTCATCGTATTCGAGGAAACAGAATAATGCACAATTTCAGACATGTAATCAACAAGACTTTATGAACACAAAATTAAAATTTGCCAACTCGTTTATGTTAATCTATTATCTCATCTTTGACTTCACAATAAAAACAATGCTAATGTATAATCAATATAATACTTACCGATAGAACACAAACTTGTATTACCATTTACGCTATGATAACAATACTCTTGCGTCATGTAGACGGAGATCTCTTTGTGAAAATCCGTATCCAAAGAAAATCCGCGTATCATATTCGTGACACGGTTTTACTAGGTTTCGGCGTACACAAGATAACAATATGCGAAAGAATAAATCTGTCATACTCGATAAGGGTTAAGACGGGTATTTTCATAAAGCACCGTGCAAGCAAGAACACGTAGTGGAAACCGACTTTGTTTCTTGCAAAAGGACGAAAGTGATAGATAGAAATCGAAACCGAGATAACTAAAAGTACAGTACCAGTAATACCGGTTGATGCCTTTTTAGGAAGTCTAGCCTAATTTGACTTGAACAAATTAAAAATTTACTATAGTGTCTCCAACATACGTCATCGAATTCAATGCAACAAACAACGATACCAAAAATAGATTTGTTTATCTCTATTATAAAATAAAATTTTTAGTAGAAACAGTATTGTGTTACTTACTAGAGAACGTGTGTGACATTTTGTTACATTTCAATATAAATTCCCCCATAGTTTATAGTGAATTTGAGATTTCAAACAATCCCCTAATGGCAAATACTGCTAACGACGCTGGCTCAAAAAATTGGCTCAAAGAGAGAGCAGCCATATGTAAGAAAGATAATGTTTATCTATATATCCGAATTATCCGCTCATATCTGACTAGGTCCGCAACAAAAAGTTTTACAAATAAACTAACATGAACTAATGTTGTGTGATTATAAGCTGCTGCACACAGACGACAGAAGACGGACCCTGCTGTAGGGAGACTTATCGAAAAGGCCGATCAATTACATAAAGAACGTACCCATCGAAACCTGCGGGATCCTAAAGAGAACGATATCGCTGAAGGTATAAGACGTGCAGACAACACTCGCTTACTCGCAAATTCAACATAACAACTGATGCTCTTTTTTCTATTTCGCAGATGATGGTGAAGACATTGACGCCATTGTAAATATACCTCCCCCAGCCGAAGTAGTCGTTAAAGGTAATCAAGCGATTAGTTATTTTGGCAGAGTTCGAACTTATAGTCATTCGTTTTCCGTAAATCTTCATCTGTTAATCAAAAAGCAGTCACACCAAAACTAACTGAAACGGAGCTAGAGACTCAAAGCCACGATAAGGAGGCCAGCGAAGATTTGTTCCGTAATTTTGCCAAGAGCGTTTTGGAAGAAACCTTGACTACAGAATCTTCACTCGAACTGTCGTTTGATCTTAAGCCTGAAGATATTATAAAGGAAGATAACGATGAGGAGGAGGATGCAGATGAAGGGGTTGAAGGGGAGGAAAGGGCGGATGGAAACGAAGAGGGAGAGGATGGGAGAGCAGAGGGGGAAGAGCAAGACAAAGATAAGGAATATAAAGATGGAGAAGAGGCGGAAGATAATGGCGGCGGAGAAGGAGGAGTGGAAGAAAAAGGCGAAAGTGAAGAGGGTGAGTTGATGCAATTGTTTGTAGGCAAAACAGAAAGTTTGGCTACTGGAAGATGGGTCGCCGTTATCTGACAAAGATTTTACCATATCCTGGTAGGATATGAATTTATAGGTACAGAAACATTGCAAAGTGAAGATAGCGTTGTGCTTATAGACGAGAGTAAGTCTTATTTCCTATCTTACATGCTAGGTGTTGTTAGAATGAATAATACTAATTTACTTTATGATTTACGTTGCCACATTGTTAACAGCTCAATTACACTCTAAAGACGAGTTGACTGCATCCGAGTAATCATTACGCACTCTAGAACTATTTATTCGAAAATATACATAATATTTTCGGTTTGTAGTTATTGCATTTCGTTAATATTTACATATTCGTTATTACATTTCTTGTATTAGGCATTGGGATGGATTATCTAACCTATCAGCCTCTTTGTATTTATTGGGATAAGAATCTTTGATATTGAGTAAATATTTTGGGTAACATTTTTATCTGTGAAATAATGTGGATTGCAATGAGTAAATGCGTGAAGGCCAAAGCTGTGAATTGTATACAAAAGGATCATCTCACAGTCTGTGTACACATGCAAAGACTTTTGAGGCCAGATTTGTAATTGTTACGGAAACCTAGCTGAGCCGCAAATAAATAATATAAATTTAGAGAGCAGTGATTCGGGTGCCTTTATTTAGACTGGTCGTGTTTATAAGTCATTTCTTTCACTTTAAATCGGCGAACTTGATAAGGCAAGAGTCGAAAACAAATAAGACAAGATTGCTCTCGGATTGGTTCCAAACTTGTTTGAAAATCACTATTTATAAGCTTTTGGCTGCTGGGTCAGTCTGTCAGAACGCATGTTTTTCTATCACATGCAAATAACAAGATGGGAATAATTGACAAATGCCTACAAGCGTCCGCTATGCGAGTGATGAAGTAGACTTGTTTATTGGTAATTACGTGTTCGTTTCCCGCAATGATAGTATCCTGTTGATTAAAGAAAGTTAATAACCATCCACGTGGTGATTTGTTTAATTAGGACTAATGTTCCTGCTTATAACTTAAATGTTTGCGTAGATTATGTCTTTGTTTAAGGGCGGATTCGATTTGTGAACTATATTCATTTTCTGTTCCCATCGTGTGAATTGCGTCACGGAATCGCATGTTGTATGAACACCTTTTTAGCTGTCTTATTATTCGCTGAATGGAATACTAAAATTCCCCTATAGTCATTATCGTAATAGATTCTTTTATTAAGTCTTCCACTTCTACGGTTTGTTTTATGGCATTTTAACACTGATCATGGACGCAATGTAGCGTAATTGAGTTGCACAAGATGCACGTTTAGTCTAACGCTATATTAATATCGATATAGTATTTATACAAATAAATCACGTGAACTACTATTACTGGCTCCATCAGTTACAAATTATCTCATGTCTAACAAAAAATACTTTAAGGAGCTTCTAAGGACTGGAATATTGTTGATTTTTTAAACGAATCCGTCGCTGGGACACAGATAGAACTGCTAATCTGGCTGATGTTCCGGTGGGATAGGAAATACTGGTCGAAAATTAATACTAATTTCCAGAATTTTCATGCTAGAGATCTGGATCTGATTGAAAAGAATGGGAAGAAAAGCGTACAAAGAAGCAGGTTCATGTCCACCAACCAAATCTGAACGCGGGGACTGTAATAAACAGTGGAACATTTGGAAGCATAAGTGACGAAGTTATGTCAAAAAGAAAGAGATCATGAGGTGTGGATGTGTAATCATGTAATTTATGAGAATTGTGGTCTGTTATAACATTATTTTTAATGGCTACTTTGATATCTATAGAATAAGTAATCTAAGGAACAAGCTAATTCCAAGAGGGTTAGTATGGAATGCATCCCTGTGATGATAAAGATTTGTTCACAAAATTTATTTCTGTAATAGTAAGGACGTGGTCGATGTTTTTTTCCAAAGTCTCTCACAAATGAAATGCAATGATGATGGTCTGTGTATGATTACAAAAAATCTGGATGATTCCAAGAAGTAAGTACTCACAAACGGAACTGTTGTGGAATTTAACTTTATGACACTAATTTTCAATGGATAATACATTAATGAACATGCTGCGAAAGTTTGGTGTGCAATGTGCACATATTATTACACTCTTGCAACCCCTCTATTACTACTATTACTATCAAAGGCAGAATCCTCCTTGTCAATTCACTCCTACTCTCTAAACCTTGGTACTATTACTATGTACACATACCTGTTTGTCCTCCTCCTCCTCAAACTTGAATGTAGTATTCACTCTGCCAAACTTTTCTCACAATCTAAATCTTTCTCACCAAATCCACTTTTTTGGGTCAAAGAACTAAATCAGTTTACCATTTATAAATTCTCTCAATCCATTCCTTCCTGTGTTTATAACCATTGACACACATATATCCCAATTAAACCCCTCCATTCCTTTCTAAATGCATCATCTCTTATATACTATAGAACCTTTCTCTTATGTTATTCCTTCTTTCTCAACTTTGATCTATTTTACTAACTCCACCTTTGACTGAAATTCACTACTCTCATTATCCTCACAAAACTCAAGACCTTTTATGGAAAATTGCACATTTAGCTCTTCCTATAGTAATAGTAATAGGTATAAGGATGTCTAACATCTACATCTCCCTCATTCAGGTTTCTGTCTATGGTAATGGTGTCCTACAATCCCAAATTCCCTCTCTCACATGTTTCATTCCTGTCCCTTCACCTCTTCCCTATGGTCATATGCCCTTTCCTTTACTCATCCCATAATAATAATAATAACACCACATTCCTCACCATCAACATTCTCTCTGATTATAATCCTCACATCAAAATTAAACACTTATCTCGTCACATCATATCCTCTGTTATATGAACTGTCTGGACATCCTACTGCTCCACCTCATTCTCCTCTTCTACCCCTTCATCACCTAATCAGTCTCTCCAATCTCTCATATCAATTCTCTTATCTTAC